GAGAAACGGGTGCGGCCTTCTGGACATCTTGTCCCGCTCGTTCATCAACGTTGCAAGTAAACCCCCCATGATCAGCTGAGGGTTAATTTCCGCTTATGACCAAATAAATCAGCAGGTAAAACGACCGGAGTCAACGCCTTGGTGCCAATGCCCCTACACTATTCCCCTGTGTGACGGGCGTGTGTGTCGCCCACTACAAAAGCAGAAAAAAGAAGAAAAAAGAAAAAACGGCGCAAAACCAATGTGTACACACATGCATGCGTGTTGCCGTGTATGTAGAAGACAAATGCTGCGAGTCCCGCTGCCGGCGGTTCTGTGCCCCCCTCCTCCCTCTTCTGTGGGATAATATACCGTCAAAGCCTGTGTTTTTGGTTGTTTGTTTGTTTGTTTGATCGCCATCTCCGCATGCTTGCGGGAGTAAAGTGTGGGTGGGGTTCCTACCATCCTCCCCTCACCCGCACCCGTCATTGCAAGCGGTGGAAGTATAAGGCGGCAAAATTCCTCGCCGCAAAGACGGAAAAAGTAAAAAAAAAAAAAAGGGGGACACCCCAGAACTTACAAGAAAAAAAAAAGACAATTAAAGGCCGGCCGGTCCCAAGAACATGTATTTACAAGGACGTGTACACGACATATGTACACAGCAAGGTCGCCCAAACAACACCACGACGTATGTTGAGATAACTCAGGTGACGCGAAAACGTTTCTTTTTTTTTTTTTTTTTTTCTTTAGAGGCTTTCTTTCTTTCTTTTTTTTTATTTTATTATATATATGTAGCCGTTTATGGTTTCCTCCCGGTCTTTATTGTTGTCCCGCCCACCTCCACCCACCCACGTCTCTCTCTCTCTCTCTTCCTCCACTGATGATACCTTCCCTTTCTTTCACATGCCGTTTACTTTTTGTTACTTCCTCCTGCCGATGTTATCTTCGCCATGCACAGCCATCCACTGAACATGCATCATTTCACCTCAAGTTACCGTTTTCCTGCTTTCCTGCTTTCCAGCTGATTGCCTCTCCGGTTGATCAGGTGCCGGCGAGTGGGTAAATGGTCACTCGCCCTCAAAGAGCTCCTCAATTATGGTCGCGTAGAACGTGTCTACGGCGGACCGGCGAATTTTCATTGATGCTGTGAGCATCCCGTTCTCCGGTGTCCACTCATCGCTTAGCACCCGCACATGCCGCAGCAACTCAAACTGGCAACGTCCATCCGCCTTCGCCAGCGCCACGAGAGCCTCCGTGGCGCGTCGGTGAAACAACGGGTCCTGCAACACCTGTGGCCAGGTCCCACGAATTTTATTGGTGGAAGCAAACTGCATTGCACGCGGTTCCTCCGTCAGGACAAGGGCGCAGATGTACGCACGCTGTGGGTGGACAAGCACACAAATGCCGTTCGGGCACACGAGCTCATGCTGCCCATATAATGCTTCAAGAAACTCAAGGGGAATATACTCGCCCAGGAGATTCTTTGCCAGTGCTTTCACGCGGCCAATAATGCGCATATTCCCTTCATCGTCAATTTCTACCACATCGCCCGTTTGAAACCATCCATCATTCTCAGTATACACTCGTTGTGTCAGCTTATCCTGCTTGTAGTAACCCTTGAAAAGAGATGGACCGCGCAGCAGCAGCTCACCACGTGGGTGCGGCTTGTCTGTGTGCTTGTACTCCTCCGTGTCGCTGAGTTTTGCTTCGATACCCTTTAATAACTGACCCGCAGCGGGATACAACTCACCTGTCCGCTGCACTGTCGCGTTGCAACACGTTTCCGTCAAGCCGTACCCTTGTGCCATGGGAATACCGAATACAACGTTCATAAACTCCTGCGTCTTGTCACCAAGTGGGGCACCACCACAGACGATGCCTCGCACTTTGCCCCCAAAAATGGCCCGCGGGAGCTTAAATACCTTTTCATTTAAGAAGGGTGTGTCCTTTCCCTCCCGTATCGCCCGCAACCGCGCGGCGTACGCGGCGTCAAAGATGGAACGCTTCATACTACCCACGGGTGGGAGCTGACTCAGCAACGCCTTTCGTATAGTCTCAAAGATGCGTGGTACACCAACAAATAACATCGGCTTAAATTCCGCCAAATCTCCCCGTGGTCGTGCGTTCATGTCCGTAAGGGTGCGAGGGCTACCGTAGCAGAGGAGCGATCCACGGGTAAGCATGATCATCTCGCAAATGAACTCCAAAATGTGAGCTAAAGGCAAGTAAACAAGGTATGTCTCTCCCTCCTCCTGTGGGCCTGTTAATTCACTCAAACGGTCACCAAGAGCTGTGGCGCCGGCGTTAAGTGAGCCAAACGTGTGAATGACACCCTTCGGTTCTGCCTCAGTACCGCTTGTGTACATAATGAGTGCCCTGCGATTACAGTCACTCGGTATTTGGTGTGTAAACGAACTATGCAGGCCCGTGTCTAGAACAGCGTTCCATGGCAACAGTTTTATACCCTCGGCGTTAAGGCCGGCAGGAAGCGCGTTGAGGTAAATCACGATGGTGTGGTCCAGTTTTGCTTTCTGCAGAAGGGGCAGCAACTTTGTTACAGATTTCCCATTACATACAATTGCCTGGCACTCAGCTTCCATTAGCGCGTACAGCAAGGCAGCCTCACCGAGGTTTGTGTATACTGTCACACCGGTCATGCCCTGTGTCCAAGCACCAAGCAGCGACGCAAGCCATTCCCAGCGTGAGTCTTCATAGATGGCAACGGCGGCGCCTTCCGACAGTCCCAACTCGCGGAGTCCCTTACCAAAGGCAATAAGCTTGTCCCAGAACTTACTGTAGCTCATGTACGTCGGATCGTTGAGGTACGTCACTTGCCAGCTTTTGGGGCGCCCCTTTGAGTCCCTTCGCTGCTCCGTCTCAACCTTCTTAACGGTGCGGTACGCAATCGCAAGCTGATCACCCCTCTCCGTGCAGGCCTTCTCCAACCGCTGCAACATGTTTTCTCCCTCGTACCATTCCTTGCAAATCCGGCTGTGTTCCTCGTCCGTTACCCCGGCGACACGGTAAATGGAGGAGGAGGTGTCGTCCTCCGGTGGGGCGCACGCCACGGCCAGTGGTCCAAAGTGACATCGCTCCTCAATGTAGCGATCAGCCACCTCAGACGCGCGACTTCGTCGCACCATCAGCGTTGCCACGCATCCCCCCATTATATATTTTTTTTTCCTCACGCGCTACAAAGACAAGTAAAAAAGAAGAAAAAAAGCTGGAGTGAAGCAGCCACAGAAATGTTCCAAGATGCACCAAAGACGTCAGTCTAGTTTCTCTTCCCAGCCTTACCACAATCCGTCGACCACCCCGCCGCATGCACGAGGTAATGCCGCGCCCCTTCACTCCCACTCGCTCGCTCTCATTCTCTCTGCGCATAACGTCCAGGGAAGTCTTTCACCGCGTTGTCGCATTACTAAACTAAATACTCATCATGCTTTGTTCGTTGCTGCCGCCCTTGTTACCTTCTTATTCCTCCTCATGTGTGCATTCACGTGAAATATTCAGGAACTTGTTGTATTCTTATTTTGTTGTTGATGTTGCTTCTGTTCTTTGTGTAATTATTATTATTGTTCCTGCTTCTGTATTACTTTACGAATTCTCCGCATTGTGTTTAGTTTGCCCACCAGGGCGAAGAGAGAAGAGACAGTTGCTGTCGCCACCGCGTCGCCCACCACACACGCGGAGGAGCTCAACGCGCACGCAAACAGGAAGGCACGGGCTAAGAAATTGGGTGTGAGATGAGAAACAATGCTACCGGGGCCTCCCCCGCCCCACACGCACACGTGTCCTTGCACAGCTCAAGCACTCGGCCATCGTTGTCTCTTATTTTTGTCCTTTTTGTTTTCTCTTTTGCTCTTTTCTTTTTCCTTTTTTCTTTTTTTTTTTTTTTTTTATCATGTCAGTCGTTCACTGTTGCATGTCGTCTCGTCCTCCAGGCATTTTCGGTCGTTGATGTTTTTTTTTGTTTGTTTGTTTTTTTGTTTTTATTTTATTTTGTTCTTCTTTTTTCTCGCGGGATGAGCGGGAGTTTATTACCTCCTCCTCTTCGTCTCACTCTCTTTACTTTTGTGGCGATTGTCTCACAACAAGAGAAGGAGGACAACGCATTAAATGCATGGGTTCCCGTCGTACCGGGAAAAAATAGGCGTCCTACTGGCGGCAGGGCGGAAGAAAAAAAAAAGAAAAAAAAAAGAAAAAAA